AGAAAGCTATATTAAAGGATCAATTTTTAAATGAAAAGTAAACAAAATAAGAAAATTTTACAATAACACAGCTTTTGGACCAACAATGTCCAACAAAACCTTTCCTTTTGATTACAAAATTGATACTTAGACTGCCTTTTTCATTCGCTTTGATAGCTTTCACAAAAACTAAGAGAGGAGGCATTTTGTACGCCTGCATTAACGAAACATCACACAGTGGCGCTGCAGGCAACATTTTTATGAGCACAGAGTTGGTGTACGCCCAATGGTGGATCGACAACAGCAACAACACGCAGAGCAGTTAACATGGACGACTAGGCCAGGCAGTACCTAAGACAGACTCAGCCGGATAATGCCAAAACGTGGCCGGGCGTAAGGAATGCAACACAAACAGCAGCAGTGGCAGCAGCAGCCGCATCGAGTCGGCTTTAGCTTTGGCTTCGGCTGATCCTCGATCATAATTTACAATCGCACAAACAGTAGCTGGCAGTCGAATCGTAAAATTTTAAATTAATGACCCGTCAGATCATATTTAAGAATTTTTATGACGTGTATAGAGTGGTGGTGGTGGACCCGTGGCTGGCTTACTAGCTGCCTGCCGCCTGCCTGCTCGCCGATCGTCACAGTTTCCTGCGACTGCAGAAATGAGTTTGCAGATCTTAGTCGCAGCAATTTGGCTGCAGAGTTGAAGTTTGGCAGCAGCAGCGCAGCAGCAGGCGATAAACCAAAAAGCAAACAGTTAATAAATGATTATTGCAACTTGTTGGCTAATTGTAGTGATGGTGCTGAAATTTTTACTGATCGTTGCGATCGTGTTTTGGGGCTGGGCACTCGCAGAATGACTTTTAAATACGAGCATAGCCAGCTGGCTGCAGCAGCTTTCGCAACCTAACGGCAATACGGAATGCCGAGAGGCATTAGTCATATGTGTGATCAGTAGCCATAAAATCGCTCTCGAGCTCGCACTACCTCTCCGATTTTTTTTCGATTAAATTCAACAATTTTCGCTTTTCATTCAAATCAATAGCACCCAGTTGGCAGCCGTGTATTTTTGTTGGTGTTTCTCCACTCAATGATCTAGCTGTGACGTCAATGCGAAAAATCCAGGGCGATCGCGTGCACGAACACAGAGACAATCACACACATTAAAAGCGTATTTGTGTGTGTGTGTGAGTGAGTGTGTATGTGTGTGAGAGAGCACAATGCTGGACACTTTGTCTGGCAGCTCAAGAACATTATCGTGCGCACAGATGATCGCAAACTGAGAAGAGACACACAAAGGCGTGCCACCCACTCGAAAAGCAAGATGAAATTATAGAATCGCAGGAATGCACTCGAATACGGAATACCCTCTGTCAAACATAACATACAACTGTTTAATAAACAATAGCTATGGAATGGGTAATCAATCGTGAGTTGGAATGCTGCTCACTTGACTAGATCTGTTGATCTATTTGATTGATTATTTTTTAGCGGAATTCCCCCCTTGATCGTTTTTTAAGAACATGAACTTAATTACTTGCAAATTATAGTTTTTATAGGAACAATTATTGGCATTACGTGTTTCTTTTTCTTCTTCTTTTTTTTCAACAACTTCATAAGTTAGTAATATTAGCATAGGTTTCGAAAAACGAAATGTATATTACTTTAAAAAAATTCTAGAGTGCCCATTAGGGACTATTAGAACCAATATGTTTAGGGTTTATTATAGTATTATAAGCAGATATATTTAACTGGTATAAATAAACAAAAAAAAAAGGAAGAATTATTGGATTTTGATAATAGAATTGTTTATAGATATTATTGAAACAAGCGATCCTATTGATATTATCGTGTTTATAATAATTCTAAGAGTATCTTGCTTCTTGTGTGGATCATTATTTCCTAAGGGAAAGTAATGCCAAATTGGATTTATAATTGCGTGACTAGGACTTGTTGATATTATATATAAAAAAAATACACATAAATATATATATATTTTTTTTACATTTTTTCTTATAAAATGTAGATAGTTTTGATATAAGGAGTTTTTAGTAGTAAGAACCATTGGATTTTGAAAAAAGCGTTGTATTACTTCATGGATGATAATTATAAGATATCACTGATACTATCGGTATAATAATATTATTATTATTAAATTATTATTAAAAGAAAATCAAATTTGATAATTAATATTGAAATATTGAAAATTATCCTATCAATAATTCCTGTTTATACCAATCGTACCAGGAAGTAGTTATAGTATATTATAGTCTGCAGATATAATACATAGATAAAATTAAAAAAAAAAAACAGATATCAACCTAATTTGCAAAACTTTTTGTTAAATCTCAATACAAAGTAGCATGTTTTTATCTTTCAGAATCTCTATAAGGGCAGGGTTCGTACAGACAAATATATCGTGGGACAGTTGAGACTAAAGTATGGCGTCGAGGTCGGTAACGCTTTCGTTTGAAAAATGATAGCCTTTTGATGGAGGGTATTAAAACCAGCAGCGATCGTTGCGCATACGCCTCGTGTAACCGCTGGCATTTCTCCGCATATGTGTGTATGGGTACAGTACACGTATATACATATAGTCATATGTATGTGTGTCTTTTGTTTGTCTCTGTGTTTGTGCGTAATGGCAGAAGGTCAATTGCATTTCGTTGGCAGTTCATTAATTTCGTTTTAGTGCGCGGCGCTTCATTCTCTGCATTTAAATTTAGCACACATTTTTATTTGCCATTCACTGTGCGGTGCGGTGGTTGTGTTTGTGGCTCTAGCTATTGTTGTTGCCATCCGTGAGTTTTGACCAACATTTATTATGTTTTTGGCTAGACTAATTGCCAACTCCTGTAGACACCCACCCGTCAAAACAAAAATTATTTCGTAGCCCACGCGAAAGCGTGCCTCGTCTTTCTTAAATTCTTCTTCATTTTGTAGTTGTAGTCTGGGCCTTTGTTGTCATTGTTGTTGCGATTGTTGTTGTTGTTATTGCTGCCATGACAAATGTTTTCATTACACTGATGTATTATTTTCATTAACAGACAAGCGATCGGATCGTCTCATTTGCTTTGCCATACACCGCACAGGTGAACAACTTGAGGCTCGTGCCATCGAGTGGGCGTTGAGTTGAGAAGTCGCCCACGTTTCTCCCATTCCCATTGCTCTTGTTGTTGTTGCAGTTCCGTTCAGGTAATGTGGCTGCCTTTGTTGATGTTGCTGCTGTTTTGTTGTTGTTGTTTGTCGCACGACGGCGTGCGTTTTATTATCTTGTTGTTAATTTTTTATTAGTTGTCGTGTTTTTTGGTTTGTGATTTTGTTTAACTACATGCCATCGAAAAAGTTGCCGCATCATTGGAAAAGCAAAAGATTTATAATAGAGCTTATGGGAGTTATACTGGAATTGTGAATTCTCACTCTATAAAACGGTAAGCATTTGTTTATAAACCATTAAATATCTCGCTTTAAAAAAATGCAGCTATTAAACTGGTCTTGTGACAATCTATTTAATGATTTAAGGGAACTCTACGTATATTTTCAACACTAATAGATAAATATGTCAAATTTCAAAGAACTATTAAATTATTCCATTGATTGATATGATACAATGAGCCGATCTTCATAAGACTTCAAAGGTGAAAAACTGAATATGCTGACTATATATTTAAAAACAACATAGAATAATTTTTGAATCATTTTTTTAAAGAGTTATATCATGCATTATTATCAAAGACTCAAGAAAGCCTTTTATTGGTTATAATATCTTAATAAACGACAAGTCTTTGGTACTCAAAGTTTTCAATATTTCAAATTTGTATATGATGACATTATTAATTGTATTTATTTATTTATAAAATATATAATATATAAATATATAAAAATTTTAAAAATAATCTTAATATGTCAATAGATTTTTATGAAACTGAAAAATACCATAAATACCAAATGAATAAATAGATATCTTCACAAACACATAAGATATCCTACTAAAAGCCTAGTTTCTAACATTGTCTATTGATTCGTTTATCAGATTCGGTTCGTCATGTTGATACCTATAACATAGGGTCAACCAGACATCCTTCCGTCTGTTACATACATTTGGCATTTAGAGATTGAAGTATATTAAAAGTCATTACCAATAAAGTTGTATGTATGTTTCAGAATTATTGCAGATAAGTAGGGATTAGTCCTCCCACTCTTCTGCATACAAAAAAAATATATATAGAAATTCGACTTTCTCTAAGGCGAATCTGCCTTTTATAATGATTAGTTATACTTATGAGTTTTGAGTTCTCACAGTCATTGGAAATTCGAATAGTTTTGCATATTCATATAAATGTTTAAATCTGAAATCGAATTCATATCCGAAAAAATTCTGAAGCTACTTAATCTGTTTTATATGATCAATTCTAATTATAAGTAAGTTCGCGACTTTTTCAGTTCTCACAATCAATGGAAATTCCATCTTATACTTTTGAATATTCATAGAATCATTAGTTGAATCATCATAATTCAAATAGTCTTTCAACTTTTGCTGGCCTTTGTACAAACATTCTTGAAATGGATTGCAATTTTCCGTTTCTGTTCTGTATGCAAATCTGAGTTTAATGATATACATTACTATATTTATAGTGCAATCCCCAATGCCACAGTTTTGCATCGCACTAGAACTTTGGCGTATTCATCGAAACTATGAATATTCTTAATTCAATTAGACTTTCACCTACATATAGTATTTCCTGGACTCTGTGTAAACATTCTTAATAGGAAATGATTCAGTGAGTCAGCAATTTCCTGGACTCTGTGTAAACATTCTTGAAATGGAATCCCATTCTGCCTTTCGGTTCTGTATACGAATATGATTTGAATGTCTGAATCCTCACTGCCACAATTTTGAATCTCACTAGAACTTTTCCTGATTCATAGCATCTTATACTATATACATACATACATTTATACTATATATATTGATCTGCTTTAGAAAGCTTAATGTTTAATATCTTTAGTTTACTCACCTGATTATTTCTATGATTATTTTGTACTTCGAATCGGGTTAGATCCTGTTTAATGCTCTCCAGCGCTTCCGCTGTGTATTTATCATTGGGGCGACCCCCCCTTTTTTCGCCCGCTGGATGCATTCTGCTGCTTCAGTTTGTGATATATAGTACTCATATCACAAAATACTCATGCACACCACCGAGTTGTCGACACTTACACACGCGCACACACACACACACGCACACACACGATCACGCACACACACACTACTACTAGTGCACAGCAATAATCTCGTTTTATTATTATTTCTCCTCTCCTTATTTATTTATTAATTTTATTTGTTATTTATGGATGAATATTTTGTAGAAGAATATTGCTCTGATTTCTGGTTGCTGCTTTTTTTTTAAAGTCTAGCGTGGTTTTTTATTTTTTAATTTTTCGGAGTCAAGCGATTCTTTGCATTTTGCACTTGATTTATGTATTTAACGTTTTAAGTTTTGTATTTTCTCGTATTATTATAATGAACGACTTTGTTTAGGGCATACATATATACAAACATACATAGTATTTATGCATGTGTGCTTATGGTATTTTGTTGATTGTTGTTAAGGCTGTTGCTATTGTTGCTGTTGGTTTTGTTGCTCTCACTATTGTTGTTTTCAATAAAGATAAATGTGTTTGCATGCTGCCGCTTGTAGGCTCGACGCTTTGTTTGCGCCGGTTTCTTTATTTCTTTTATCACTCGCAAAAATTCTTCACACAAGCCACATCATTTGCGTTATAAACAATGTGTACATACATATATATTTCTCGCAAAGTCGGCGATAGCGAAGACACCGCACAAAATATTTTAGCCATGTAAATATATATTTTAGTATTATGGCTGTTTTAGGTCTGGCTTTTGTTAAGAATTTTTAACATTTCTGCTGTTGCTGCTGCTGCTGATGATGATGCTGTTGTTGTTGTTGTTTCTATCAAAATGGCTCTCTGCAGCCGCTTCAGCAACGCGGAGCAATTAAAAATTTATACTCCAAGCTGACCGAGCAGAGCGTTGACGGACGACGACACACGAAAATAGTTCGTGGAATTTTCAGTTGCCGCCTCTATGAATGAATTTGAATATTTGAATATAAATATTATTGTTAAACTTGATTTAGATTCTTTAGCTTTAACAACACTTTCGGCTCTCACACACACATACGACTGGCTGGCTGGCTTCACGGAATTTTAATTGACGGTTAACTCTTTGCTGAAAATAGATAGAAACAAACCGTTAGTAAGTGATGATGCACGACTTCCACATTATGATGAAAAAAATAATGCACAGACGATTCAAAATTGTCACACATGTTCTATAAACGCCACAAAACAGTCATTTTTCTCTAGCAGCTGCCAATAAAAAACACTATAGAATAGTTTATATAAGAAATTAAAATAGTGTACAACTGTGTTTCAGAATTGCTCGTCATACCCATTTAAAATATAACTGAGATACTCGTATTACAGATAGACCAAGAGAGACTGAACATTCATTTCTAAAGCTCTTTTCGTGGTTAAAGTTTTTAGTTTTTTTAAACATCGATGTTTTATTCCCAATGTTCGATGCTCTTTACTACTTGTTCACCACTGAATTTTTGTTTTTGTATGTTATACTTTCCTTAGATTTTGTTATATTCTTTGCATTTGTGAAAATATCGTTTGTTGTGAAACCTTTTGTAATTATTAAAAACTTTAGCTTTTTAAATAATATGGCAAATCAAAATAAAATCACTATGTTTAAACATCAATAAAACCTCTTTAAAAATTCGTTCATAGAAGTTCGATGCATCGATAAATCGATGTTCTTCCCCTTACAAAATCGAAACATCGATATTTCTCCAGCTCTAACATGTTGTGTTTACAATTTGTATTAAAAACAATTTTAAATATTAATATAGGAAGGTTACCTAGGGTTGTAAAAATACATCGATTTTTTTGACATCGTCGATTATTTCATGAGTACTCGATTTTTCTGATGTTTTATGCATCGAAACAATAATTTAAAGAAGTTGGAGAGTTTAGAGAAGTTGGGTCAAAACTAAATATAAAAATCAAATAAATACCAAAAAATAAATAAATCGATGCATCAATCTTTTGTCGCCATTTATCGAAGTACAATCGATGGCACTGGACGATAGATCGATTGTGTGAAACATCGTTGCTTTGTACTTTATTTACAACCCTAAACCTTTTACAGCAAACACGATCATGAGCCTCGTACTGTAATTATTTACGAGTATTATTATACAGTGAAAATTCTCTTGATGGACACCCCTCTTAAACAAACGAACACTCCCCTTTTGCGTACAAATAGAGTTTTTACTATAAGAATGTCTCCGTTCCATCTAATCCTTTATTGGGAAGCTTTTTTTATTTTGTCATCCACGGTCACTATAAGTAATCAACACATCTATTTCCAAAAACTCTTACTAAATAACATAGCTTGTATGACAACTATATAATAGACTGATCTTATCACAGAGCCATAAAACTCTGCCATAAAGCAGATTCAATAGCCGATATATTTGATAACTATTTTACAATAGTTTACTATACTTGTGGCGTTGAATATGATTTTAATAATATATTCTGTTTTTATTTATACAAGTATTTAAGAGCGTTCAGCGTTTCCGGCGTCAATCTTTGGTTCGTACTCCTTTGGTATCGATTTTCAAAGGGTGTTTCTATAATCGATTACTAAAGAGGATGTTCCTATAATCGGTTACTAAATAGAGTCTCCCTGAAATCGATTGTGTTTCTACAATTGCTTATTAATTCGAGTGTTCCTACAATGGGTTACTCTTACGGCTTCTATCGATAGCTAATCAGGGTGTTCCTACAAGTTTTCTAAACATTTCTAAACAATGTCCAACCGGACGAAGAAATGAGTGAGCTGTAATTTTCTTAGATTTGTGTAAAAGCATTCAGTAAACTCGCACTCTCAATGAGACTTTTTATATGAGTTGTTAATAATTTGGCAAATTGTCCGTTAACAACAACACGCACTGACAAACAAAAAAAATTACTATATACGCGTATAAACTTTGGGACTGGATTGTGGACTCATTTACATGCCAGTGCCGTGAGTCACAAAAAAAAGCGGCGCATAGTGTGGACAAAGCTTTATCGACTTGCCACACATTCCATTCTTCTATTTCATTTCATTTTATTCCAATTTATTTTCTTTTTATGCTTCTTCTTTGCAAATCACATACGATAATGAGTCGTTTTTCGTGTCGTACGATTTTCATGCATTTCGCTGTTGATTTCTATTGTTTTTGTTTTTCAGAGACTGTCGAAAAGTACCCAGCAGAGAGCATTATGTCATGTCCATATTCTGCGAAACTATAAACAAATTTCTACCAAAAGTTTATGACGGGGCCCATAAAAATCACACTACACAACAATGTGGGGGAGCAATCCAAATCAATCCCATCCAATTAATTCGTACTGCGAAAAGTGAGAAAGCAAACAAAAAAATGTTTGCGCACCTGACTATTAAACAGTCATCAAAGCCTAAAAGCAAACAAATGCACGAAAAAATACACACAATTCGTTGAATCTGGGCAAGTGCTAAATAATTGGAAAAGCAAGAGGCTGTATTGGCGTTCAAATTCTTATATCTAAAAAGAATTTAGTCATGATAAGCTTTTTGTTGAAGTTTTTGGGGGGAATGCCCATAACAGGTATCTCGGCGGGTCTGATAAGACATAAGACTTTTGCAAATGACCATTTATTTGAATATGCATACTTATGTATTGGAAAAGTCCGAAATAGATAAACAGTGTGGGATATTCCTTTTCTATTACTTGGAATTTCCTGAACAGGTTGCCGGCTGCTTAATAACTGAGCTACTTCTGAAGACATTTATAGACGGTTTTGTTAAGTCAAGTTATTGCTAAAGCTAAGCTAATTGGCTTTAAGCTGGGGGGAAAATGGAAGTAAAAGCTTCTATCTTAAAATTTGTAAGAAGTTGTATCTTTTAACCAGAATTATATATCTAATCTAAAGTTTTTGTTTTCAAAGTAAAGTTGAAATTTGCTGTTATTTTTATATCTAATCTAAATTTGTGTGGGAAAAGACTATTTCTGATTCAATAGTTGCAACAAAGACTATTTAATTTATAAACAACTTTTTGCTAATCACATTTTAGTAAAAAACATTTAAGGCGCAAATATGAGAAATGAAATTTGTTATCAAAGCCTTTCTAGAAAAAATTGTATAAATAATATAATATATATAATATATATAATATAATAATATAAATAAAAGAACCCTTTTATCAGCTACCCTATATATTTTATATACTGATCTAATCTAAACGGCTCTAATATAATTTTGTGTTTTCGGTTTGTCAAAGCAATTATCTATATTCTTAATTGAACGAGTTTATATATGGTTGATAAGAAAGAAATTAAATCTATGTAATCCCTAATGAATTATTTGTTGTTGAATTTAGCTGAAAAGTTATAATTTTTCAATAATTATTGGTCAATTAGAGCTACAAAAGTTGAGGCCGGATTTTACAAATTAGCGAACCGGCGAACTGATCTGTAAGTCCAGAAAGCATATTGCTAGCCAGAATTGTTAAACTGAAGAGCAGAATACCGGAACAGCCAAGGGTAACTTTAATTAATGGAGATTTCCCATACTCTAAAAAGCATTTGAGTACAAATATTTCAAATAATTTTGAATTTTCGGATATCGATGAATAGAATATATCAATTTTGAAATAACACATTTTAAACTAAATCTTGTTTATTATATTATTTAATCAGATATCTAACTTTTAATGTGATAAGTTTATTAAATGTTTTTTTTCAGCTTTGAAAGATTGTTGGCTGATTTATAAACCATCTATAGATCGCACTTAAGTTTGGCATTTTAGGGTATCTTTACAGCGAGAGGTAACCTGTAAGACCTTCCTCATGATCCAAGTTATTAATCTCCCATCCAGGTAAATTGCCATTACTATAATGTTTTCCCTATCTTCAACAAAATTGGATTCCCTCTTCCTTTACTCCATTACTAATCTAAAATGGCCACGTAAGATGTAAATTTTACAAATATAAAACAATATTGCGGTCCCAAAGTAATTCAACAAACAATCTCGAACCCGAAAATGGAAGCTAAAGCGGTTACCATTTACATTTGTAAGCTAGTGTAATAAAAACTAGTAAGTCGTTTAGTATTCATTTTAGCTTTCAATTCCGGCTTCACATTCACCATTAAAGTATAATATAGACTATTCGATCCGAGCATGACGAAATTAGCAAGATAGCATCAAAATAAATGTATGATTGAAAATATCTTCATAATAGTAGGCTTTAACTATGTTTTGTGTACTCGTTCATTGGACGACATTCCTAATACGAGCGAAATAAAAAAGTTAATCTATGTTTTGGGCTTGTTTTTGGTTTTATGTCGCACTACGTCTTATAATTCATTTTATTTATTTGGCTTTGCTGAGGAATGTTAATTTAGAGCTACACATGTTTGTATGTAGATGTGAGGGAAGATAAACGAGAATGAAAGTGGTAGCTCTGCTGATAAACAAAAGCACACACATACAAATAGTTTATATATATGTATATGTATATCTAGAGATCTGCGGTTAAGTAAACAACAAGCCGGCAGAATAAATTGCCTCAAAACCCGCAGATGAGTAGGAAACGCCACACGCGCCAAAATTAAATGTCAACAAAATATCGCATAGTCTGCAACTCAACCCCCGCTGCTGACCCCCTCTCTCCATAGGCGGCGGTAAAACGATCGTTTGGATTTGGCTGCCAAGTATGGAAAATTTCACATTCCATGAATGCCACAAAGTATGTTTGCGCAAAAATATTCAATAACTAAACAATTGCAAAATAAACGCAACTACTTGTAATTCACATGCATGCCAAAAACACACACACACACACAAATTTGATGATTTGTTGTATGTATGTATATATGTATATGGGTGTGGGTGTGAGCATTGTACATATTTTGATTTTGATGTGTTATAAAGCGGCTCGACGATTGTGGACGTTATTGGAATTTTTAATTGTTTAATTACGAAAAGTTAATTTTTATTTTTGGGGAAGTTTTTTGAGAGATAAAAGCGTAATGCCGCAATAGAAATTGTTTATTTTGCACACTTTGTTTTAATTGAGACATTTTTATGATCAATTATGGCAACTTAGCTCACAAATTCCAAAGTGATTT